ATAATAATAATAATAATAATAATAATAACAATAACAATAATAATAATAATTACTATTATTATTATATTATTATTATACAAGTAACAATAACATGACAATGGTATCATGTCAATGGTCCGGGAATGCGCCAGGGTGGTGATGGATGGTGACCCCGAAGACTGTATTTGCATCTTATTTTGCCTATCTTTCCCATCTATGTCAGGTCTGTCATAAATAAATATACATAAAAATAAATAAATAATTTAAATAGAATTAATTAATTCAAAATAATAATGCAGAAAAAAGGCTACATCTACACTCTGCGGGTGGAAAACGGCGCCGCGAGCAGCTCTACCAAGAGATGGATACGTGCGCCTAATAAGATGACATTATTATTATTATCATTAAGAGTAACAACAAACATCATCATCATCATTATAATCATTATTTTTGTTATTATTTATTAATATTATTATTATTATTATTATTATTATTACAGTATTATTATCATCGTCATTTTATGTGGAAATGTAATTAAAGGATGCAAGAATTGTATAGATAAACGAAACAATTTTTTATGTTCCTGCAAAAAAAGAGTATGATCCAGAAATCTGTAAAAAAAATGTTTCTTGGGAATGCACTTTTTAGCTGCTCATTACCTAGCGCTCTACGATACAGTTCTTCGAAGATGATCCTTTTTGATCTGCGCCTAAAATGAGATTTTCCTCGATTCCGTTTGGATATCATTAACCTTTAAAACACAACCTTTGAAACACTAGTCACTTAAATTGTGTTAGTGGATCTATCACGTGACATTTTTTCTGCTATATACTGTAATGTTTTTAGTAACAGAGTGGACGGCTGCTTCAGGCGCCTGGGTGGGTACAGTATGTCTATAAAGGAATTCCTTCGGGGTGGCTCGAGGTGGCTTTGGTCTACTCAGTCCAACGCCGTAGCCAAGATTTTCAAGCTGTGTGGGACAATATCAGGGTGGACCCACTTTACACGTAAATTCAAAAAATTTAAACCCATTTTCTTAAAAGTTGACCCATTTTACGTAAAATTATGGAAAATCAATCCATTTTCCCAAAATGTTGCCCATTTTAGGCTAAATATGAGGAACCTGGGCCCATTTTTCAAAAAGTGGACTCATTTTATGCATAAAATTGCATAATTTGGACTCATGTTTTAAAACTTTTGACCCATTCTTCGTGGACCCATTAGCAAAATTGTGTGAGACTGTCCCAACTGTCTCAATAGCTGGCTACGGCATTGACTCGGTCTCAATATTATTCATGACCCCTTCCTTTAATCACCCTCATTAATTGTGCTACTCAGGACCCTTCCTCTTTACTCACCCTCACTAATTTTGCTACCCAGGACTATAAAGTGGTGTTTATTATTATTATTATTATTATTATTATTATTATTATTATTATTATTATTATTATTATTATTATTATTATTATTATTATTATTCTTGTTGTTGTTGTTGTTATTGTGATTATTATTATTATTATTATTATTATTATTATTATTATTATTATTATTATTATTATTATTGTTGTTGTTGTTGTGGTTAAGTATTTCCACCATAATGAAACTTGAAATGTCTTGAATCCAAGTAAAATAATCTGAATTTATAATAAATAGCCCTTCTGATATTTCCGCGAAATATGTAATATCGAAACAATATTTGAAATTATCCATTTAACCATGGAAACGTCACTGTCGAGATGCCATTCTCGAAATTGTTATATGTGACGGAAGCTAAAACTGTGTCGATTTCCAAATACAATCTTACTACCTAGAAGTTCACCCCTTCCACAGAACAGCTTACAATAATACAGCAATAAACAAAGCATCTTTTTGTCGTTTTGTTTAACAGAATCTGTCAATACATACTCGTAAAAAAATCATTGTCTATAGGCCTATTGTTTTTCACACTGAAATTTATTACTGTTTTTCCATTAAAAAAAAAAGGAAAAAAAATTATTCGCAGTCTCAATAATCTTTCCAATTCCTTTGTTAATTTCCAAATGTCGTACTCGTGTTTTTCAAACAATTTCTTTCCTTCTGAAAATAATCTGTTAAACTGTGTCATCTCAACCATTTAAAATAATACAAACTTCGTCGCTTATTATACCTATTAAAGGGGGTACATAATTATTTATAATTATTGTATTTATATTTTATATATGCTTATATATTTATATTTGGAGAATTGTTTTCCACATATTTATATACCCGAACTATTGTAAAATTTAATAAGTTTTCGTCATTTTGATGGATTGTGTAGGAATGTGATGATAGAACTTGTAATTCATTTGCTGACATCTTGGCAACATTAGGCCTCTGGCGAACATCTATCTATTGTCAAATAACCAGGCCTCCGTCATAATATACAACATGAGCCAACGTCCTATCAAATTATTAGTTTCGCAACAACCGTGCAAGGGTGGAACCTGCTCCTAGTCTGAAGAGAAAAAAAAAACACATTTCGTCGGGGTGGGAAAAAAATATGTAATTTTTATAGATTGTTAAACTCTCAAATCGATGAAATAAGCCTTTCAAATCTCTAAATTGTCATAGCTTGCTGGGCTTATTTCCCTATACCCCTTTTTATGAGTCTTGAGAAACCCACTGACCACATCCACTTACACTCTCCTCTAGGGCACCAGCCCTCTCGTCGGGAAAATCCACACCCCCCTTCCCACTTTTGTTAAATAAATAACACAATAATCGACTTTTAAATATAAAGTATGATGCCGTCCAACTCTATTTATTTCGTTCATTTTAACTACAATTGTTGAAATGCATTTGAATATTATTTCTTATGTGTGCGATACCTGCATTTTTAATGTATTTTATAATTGTTTAAACAGGTTTATACACATTTTACAAATTTTTATTTGTATGGAATTTTATGCAATGATAATTCACTGCGATTGACAATACATTGATGGTAAAATATTAACAAAAAATAGTCTTTACACCACAACATGAGTTGCACCAATATTTTTGAAGTATTTATTAGTATCTAATATTTAAGCCTATTGCACATTTACATGAAAGCATTTAATATAATAATGTATAAGTAATATTTATAATAATGACAATTTTTTTTTAATTGCGTGACAAACTTTTTTTTTTTGGTTTAGGCCTGTCACCAAAATAGGCCTACGTCAATAAAGTTCTGCTCAGTGGTGCATTTTATGTTTTCCACTAGGCGAATTTATTCGCGCGAATCGAAAGCGTCGGTTCGCTTCCTGAGCTCTGATTGGTTGCGCATATTAATCGCTTCGCAAAAGCTCCATAGATTATGAATGTGCATGCGCATGAACCGACGATTTCGATTTGCGCGAATAAATTCGTCTCCATGGAAAACCGGCTTAGGACAGGACGGGTGCACAGACTGCGACGTGACACGCGTTGCGCCGCTGATCAATTTAAACGACAATCTGCTTGCTGCGGATCATTTGTCGTTGCCTTTGGACAAGCGCATAGACTCCGAGCGGAGGGCGCGTTGTGTGCCAGTGCTTAGAGTGCGCAAATTAACCAAAAGTCTTGCAGTTTACGATGGCTGCTTTGCAACACATTTGTGACCACTATGGTAAACACGCCCACTGTAATAAAGACCTATGGAACATAGTGATAAGAAAAACAAAAACATTAAAATCAGCATCCAATAATCTTAAGCTAAGCTTATGTCGCCATTAGGCCTACGACTCAACTCAACTATTTGCCGGTAGCGCTCATGTCGACTTCAACCTACGATCTCGTCACTACTAAGAAACATAGGCCACTAGGTGAAATTATTTAACCTAGGTTCTATAGAATATTACTATCACATGTAGCTTGCCAGTTGCAATGTGTCAGTGAAAACATGTGTATCGTTTACGGTATTCAGTCGCTTGAAATCGCACGACGACCTAACAGTGGCGGATTGGCCTCTTCCAGCAGTACAAAAAAAAAACAATGTTAAACTGCATCCATATAAATTTGCGCCTAAAATGCTAAAGAAATGGAATTCAATAGTCTCTAATATTCCATAGTGTTGATCGACGCGGTTCAAGGGAAAATGCAACGCCACGACGCGAGCGCAGCCGTCGTTTCTAATGACGATTCGTTCAGACTGCCACCGACAATAATCAGCAGACGGCTCATCGGGAGCGGAGTTGGATTCGTACGACGCATTGAATGCCCGGCTTTAATCGCCGGTCATTTGATGCAGGTCGGTTGAGTCAAGAGAACATAAGTGCGGATTCAAGGCAAGGGAAAATTATAAAAAATGTAGACAGAAAGAAGAGAGTGAGGGCTACTTCTTCCAGCCATCTGGAGGTGCCTACTCATAAATTTTCTTACCTCAGCCTCAAACATCCTGTGGGGCTGAGGTAGTATAGACCCTTTTCTATGAAAGTCCCTCCCTGGGTCCATCTATTTCGAATTCCTGGATCCCCCACTGTACATAAAATGTTGCACATCACAGAATCGTCTGGTATTAATATTAACATGGGTTACAATAAACAATTTGGTCAGTGGACCATTTGAAGTCAAGTTATAGATATTAAATATTGAATTAAATGTGAACATATTAAACAATTTAACATAATAAATATTAATTAATAATGATAACAATTAATACTTCAACCACATCAGTCAATAGCTAATTATAATTAAAGCCGTAATTTTTCATAATGGTATCAAAATATATCATCACCATTAGCTCTGACTTTAAATTCAATTACATAATCGATAGAATTAGGAATGTCAGAACTTGTTATTATAGGAGCGGGTAGTATCAGCTTGTAGGGCTGTAAAGGGTTCAAGTTCTTCACTTTGTATACAGTATTGTATTAACATATTGCGTAGCACTGAAAAACAGATTTCAGAATGTAAAACTATCGCTTTATAGGCCTATGTTTGAAAGCAGGGGCTTCCGTTGGAGAAAGCATCCTCCCACAACACAATTCGTCGGGTACAACAAAATTATATGTATTTTCTGTATTAGTTCACTCTAAAATTGGTTAAAAGCATTTGAAAGCCCGGAAGATTTTGAGTGACGCTCGACCACGTCCACTTTGCTCTCGTCGGAGACATCGGACCTCCCGTCAGGTACATCGCACCCCCCCCCCCCCCACCGTCGGGAACATCCTATCGCCATCCCGTGTTCAAAATAGTGTATGTTCCTAACACTATCAAAGCGAATTTTTTAGTCTTGTAAAGTCAGCCAATGTGTCAGGTAGATATGAGGCTATGGCATACAAAACCAAATAATCGCGTTCGTTGCGCTCAACTTCGTTGGCGTCAGATGCGAACACTAAGGTACCGTTTGAAGATGTGATACACGTTCCGGTAGTATTTCTTAAATATATCTAAACCAGTAGAGAGTGGAAAAAGTAATAATCAAAATCGGAACGATAAACATAACACCATTAGGATAATATTAAATATTATCTATGCATTGATTGTTTACTTGTTTTTTCGTACATGCTTAAAAAATCAAAAGGCATCATATGCTGGGCATAAAAATTGAATGGCCAAGCTTCAAAAATCTCCACTACTACATTGAACGGTGTAAGCATGAAAGTTGACAAGAAATGCAGCAAAATACATCGAAACAAAAACAACAATCTTAAACATCAAAATCCACATGCTAAAAGGCGCACTGCCGCTCTTAAAATACATATCGTTGGTCCCCTGATGATTATGATGATGATGATTATGATGATCATGGTGCAATACCGGTAGTTACTTTAATCACACACATAATATTATTACAATAAATTGTTCGAAGGTTTGCATGGCATAATACGGTATATATTAATTCTGGCGGTACACCACGTAAATAGTTCTGGAAAGAACTATTGTTGGTTGAGAATGTCTCAACGTTTCGATTAAGTTGCTTCAATCAGATCAATCAGATTATTCTCATGAAGACGACTGAATCAACTCAATCGAAACGTCGAGACATTCTCAACCAATAACAGTTCTTTTCAGAACTATGGTGGTGTAACGCAAGCATGAATATAATATCATTACAATAGTTACAGTATGCACGAATCTAATTGCATTTATTGTATTTGTTACTATTACTCCACTTATTACATACAAATTTATTTCCACTTACGATTGTTGAAATTTTGGAAGCTGTGCTACTCAAGGTGCCTCCAATGTTTTGAAAGTCAGAAAGGAAAGATTGGGAGCCCAAGTAGTTCTGTTCGTCAGTGACAACAAGTTGCATTGCATTCTGGTACAGCAACATGTTGACCCAGTGTGTCTGAAGCAGATCTCCTTCCTGGAAGAAAAAAAATGGGAATAATTAATATTAATAATAATATTGATGACGTCACATCTGAGTGATTTTTACCATAGGTATACTGTTCATTTTTTTTAGAGTATGAGGGCACTGTGTCTTTTTATAAGGTAAGACGATTGCACCTCTGTAGGTACAGTAGGTAGGTATTTCAGAAGACAATGAATAAACATTTGGATATTATTAGCTATAATATTGTGTGGCTCATTGCCATCTAAGCGTGGGGAAGTAAGTCTATAAGTACATTTTTTTTATGACTATTAGCTATAATCACAAGTTGGTCATTACTTTTAAAACTAGAGAGGGCAGCACTCAAAAAACTGGACGCGCTTACTCACCGTCATGTTTTGTCGTCTGCGATACGTCAAAGCTGAGACATCGGGCAGACCACTTAATGTAACAGAAGTGTCCACAATTTGAGGGATTCGTTGAGCCTTCTATAGAGGAACGATAATATTTTTTATTATTCTAATTTTTATTAGAAATCTAATAACTTAGGACTACTTTTAAAAGTTCTACCACTTTATAAACGCAGGAAAAGCGCAATAAAAGTAACACTTTCACTAATTCAAATACAGTACCGTAGTGAATTTAATCTATAAAGTATATTAACTCATCTTTATGGATATATTGTTATTCAAATGTATCACTTACGAATCTTGATTTGACACCTATCGTCGAATGGGATAAAGTTCTGGTGCTGGTTACAACATCGTTATAGTATGCCTGCGTCATAAGAGTGGCTGCTGCTACCTTCACATCTGATACAACGACTAGCAGCGGAACGACTATGATAGCTTTAATAACATTAATAATAATAATAATATTATTATTAATAATAATATTAATAATAATAATAATAATAATAATAATAATAATTTGTTTAAACATACACCTTTTGTAACAGTGGCTCAGGTAAAATGCTATATTACGGAGTCTGTGCTATCGGTTAGTCACTTCTGATACAATGACTAACATCGGAATGGCTATGATAGCTTTACTAATAATGATTATAATAATAATAATAATAATAATTATTATTATTATTATTATTAATATTATTATTATTATTATTATTATTATTATTATTATTATTATTATTATTATTATTATTATTATACCATTAAATCAATGTATAGGTAATCAAGTATAAATTTATGAAGACCAATAACAAATAACATAACATTGATTCAAATCATGTAATGGGTTAATTAACCTAAATTAAAATAAATTAAATTATTAAGAGGTAAACAGAAACGTTGATTTCTTACTTTGGTCAGTGGAATGTACTTTAAATTTATTATAAATTGACCTGTAATCTTTAAGTGTCCGGGCTATGGTAAAGGAGTGCCGATGCGATATTTACAGATGAATTCGTATTTGATTAAAAATATTAAGACATAAGGCCAGGGAGAGGTTTCGGTTGGCCTCTGTTAAAAACACTAAGAATGCTTAAGTGATTTTTGTATAGTCCTACCTGGTCTATCCTAATGTGTGTCCATCAAATTCAAAACTCTGTTACACAAATTAAATAAGTTAGGCAAAGTTTCTGTCTCCTCTTGCGATGTCGTCCTTTCGTGCTGCATACGCAGACGTAGGTAAAGTGAAGCGACCATGCCGATAACGACAGTTTAAAATGTTTAATTGACACATAAAGTTAAATTGTATACATGTGAGCCAGTTCAAAATGAGAATATAGCTTGTGAAATTAATTTTACATTAATGAAAATTTTCAAAAATGGATCATAATGATTGAATAATTTCGAAACATCTGTTAAAGAAGATGCCGGTTTGTTAACTTACATAACATGGTCCTAGTCATGGTGTACCTCTCGCTGATTTTGTCCTCACTAAGCTACTCGAACAGAAGTTAAGTTAAGTTAACTGGAGACCACTCCTAGACTTGAGTTTGATGTTCTCTGCTGATGTCGCAAACGATTGGAGGACGATTCGTTTCTCTCATTTTTATATAAGGAGTTGTGAGCCAAAGTTTCATAAGTACAATTGCTTCCATTTGTTTAGAGGATTAAGGAAGATTTAAAAGGGTTTCTGATTTATACCATCTCCCCGTGCTTTTTCTATGTCATGAAATTCGAATCACTAAAAGCTACAATTAATACCGATGTTAAAGATAACGTCTGTAATGTTTTTAAAACATAAATCATAAAAATTGCATATAATAATTAGCTTCTAATCGAAAATTTGATCATGGAAAAATGTTTGTAGTTAAATGACTGTAAATAATTGAAATGCTGATTTTTTTTTCTTTATAATTTTTATAATGTCTCATTGGAAGGTGATAACATTTTAATAAGCAATTTAATTCTTTTGATTTTTTGAGGTTTTTTAATTTTACGACAGAGAGTATATCTTCAAAAGTGGGACGTATAATCACAACTGAAATCGATTGGCTTAGCAAGTATATTTTGTCACTAATCTCATAATGCGCAAAAGTTATCAAGGTTGAAAACTGTCTTAGGCCTAGACAATTAACCATGAGGAGATTGGATTAGTATTGATCTGAATGTTAGGGCTGAAGGGGTGTGACAAAGGTGTGTTCCCGTCTCAACCAATGATACTTTGAGGCCTTTCATAATAATTAGTATAGGCCTGCAGAAAAAAATAACATCGCACGTGTCTTACAGGCCTCTAGTGTTTCTTGGAAAGTGAATGGCTCACTATGGTCTTACAAACCAATCTATGGGCCTTGATAATTATCAAATACTTGGTAACGAGACCTAGGTGTTCCTGGCATATGTGTCCCTTGTTTGTAGGCCTAGTTAATTTCCAAAACATGTCTATATTGAAAACAGATTTATAATGTAGGCCTACTACTACTCAAAGAGATCAAAACAAACTATAGTTTACTGACAGGGGAGGATTTAAAGGTAAGGGGTATCCAGCTTTCCCCACACACACATTTTGAACAATACATACAAATTTATGTCTGAGAGTGACATTTGCAGCAAGTGCAGGGTTTAAAGCCATACCACTTTGTACCTCAGGTAGTCTGCACCCTCCATTATGTATATGACTACAAAATACTCCCTCTATTTTGAATTTCTGTATCGACCACTCATTATTATGTGTGTTATATATATATATACATTTAAATACACTAATTACAATTAATTAATTTGTCCTTTACACATTGATCTGTTTATCTGAAATTGGTTGCTCATCAAGTCGCTTGTATAGAGACCTATATATTCAGTATATCAAATATACGAAACTAGAATCAAAGATACAGATATTAATTTACAGATTGTAAATATATATCTAAAACATTGAGTTATTCAGTTGATAGCAACGACTTTGAGAGGACGGTTTGAATGTCAACGTGGATCGTTTGATGCCGTAATTAACTCGAGTCGATTGAGCGACCATCCCTCCGCGTGAATAATGGAATCAGGAGCAGGCCTTCACCTTGTACGTATGTGTGAGTAGTTTTAAGTCTCCGCAAATTACCTTAACATCTTCTCATGCAGTCAACTAGCTAATTATCTAATTCAAAATCGTGTGAAAGTGATAGTTCAGGTGAAACGGACATTGATTCAATTTTTCGCCTTAGTTCATTTTTTAAAATATTCACTCCCAATATAGATACACAAATACAAATATGTTGACACCGGGAAAATAATTAAATGGTTTTTTTCTAGCTAAAATAGAAGTATTTTAATTGTGAAGTGATGGTAGATCTAGTTATTATAATGAAATTTGATTGGAACAATGATCCATTGAGACTTAAATAAATATAATCGCTTGATTTGTACAATCTATGTTATTGGGGTTCAGCTGAGATGTATATATATATATCTGTCTCTTATACACATCTAGATGTGTATAAGAGACAGTGGTATATATATTTATATATATATATGTATATATATGTATGTGTATATACGGTATGTACGTGTGTATATATGTATATATATATATTATATACAGGGCATATATATATATGTATATATATATATAATATGAAGAAGACTCATTTCCAGTCTCATCCTAAAGACCGTGTGCTATCAGCGCAGACACAGTGGCTACCACCAGTTTAACCGACTGAGCTAAGCTGCTCTCTACTCTCACCCTTAGATACCTGGTAGAAAATTTGTGGTAAAAAGTGTCATTGAAAATCTGTAACTTATTGAAAATTGATAACGTAGGGCCTATGCGGTTCTTACAAATGAACATTAAAAATATTTTCGTTTATTCTATTGGGTAAGATTTACTATAATAGGCCTTACGATTATGAAACGGACCAATTTACAAAAGAGCTGGCCATTTGCCAAGACAATTGGTGAATGGAAATTACATTGCATTAAATAGATCCGTTGGCATTGAGCGAAAAGGAAACTTAAAAACTAGAATTCTATCGAATATGTGAATTGTTGCTTTGTATAATTAAGTGTAAGTTATTAACTTTCAGTTAAGAATCCGAGCGATAAATTTGTTCCTCTCCTATTTTAAGATGTACAAATATTACTCTATATTACTATTATATTATTATTATTAATATTACTAGCTGTCTTTTACATACAACATGACTTGGCCAGTAATCAATGCATTTTCGTAGTAAACATCTGTAAGTCAGCGAAAACTGAATTGTGTCGATTTGTGTTTCTTTTGAAGGTTGGTAGCTTAGTTTATCATTTTAAATGAAAAATTGAATTTTTGAAGGTTTTTCCACATTTGTAGTACAGTATACCTTTAAGACTTAAAGATAGAGCAAAATTACTGTTAATTTTATTTTTATATGTCATTTATTATTTTGTGTGTTACATAAAACAGTATACTTGACAATCCCAAATACACTTGCAAATTGCTGTATACTGAATGCAGAACTGTTATTGGTTTTGTAAAAGCAAACTAGTACAGTACAAGAAATAACTTTGTTGTTGGCAAACCATATGAAAAATCACTATATTTATATTTAATATCATTTCAAAACATGTATATCTTAATTACAACCGTGCCAATACCCGCTGTTTACGTGTTTCGCTGGCAAAAACGTTTGTATAGATCTTTTTGGCAAGAGTTGTGTAACTTTCAGAATTGGATGGATGGGATATCCTGACGGGTGGCATTCTATTGGCACTCGGATACTCAGACAGCTTACTACGTTCAAGGTTATTTCAAGTTCAGTTCTGTTTTGGTTTGTCTGTGAAAGTAGGTCGGTGTAGTGTTAAGGTGAGGACTTGTAACGCGTTCACTACCAGGTCTTAGCATTTGTAAACAAAGTTGTTTAGAATCTTTGTTTATATCTTTTTATAAAATTCTAAACTGTTGTAAATTAGTTGACTTTTGCTTAACTTGAAAATAATGAATGGCAAACGAAAATATATAAATAAAAATAATAATAATAATAATAATAACAATAATAACAATAAGAAACAATAACAACAACAACAATAATAACAACAATAATAATAAGATAACAATTATGATAATACCGATAATAGTAATGATAATAATATTAATTATATTATAATAGGTATATCAATATGTTTGCTAAATATCAATTATTTCAGTTATCGTATAAAAATAATTATCTAGAATTCGATAATTATTAAGAAAAATACAAACAATACATAAAAAATAATCCAAATAAAAATATATGATTTATAACAATATATTTTTTTTTAATCTATTTATATTTTTATCCGGAATTATAAAGAATTATGAATGAAATGTCGCCACTAGAAATCCACTTGTATTCAAAAAACGTGCTTAAAATGAGGAGTAAGTACGGAACGATTAGGCCGGCTAGACATGAAATGTGGGCAGTGGTAGACTGGGGTCACGAGGCTAGTTCACCTTTCTTGGCCTAAAGCCAGATCGCAGTCGGCACGTAGCAAAATGTAGTACTATTGAAGATGTTCGACCGGGTTCATAGTCAAGGCCGCAGATCACCTTTCACTTTACTAATAGGCCTATCTATATGGAAACGCTTATCGCGGTTTTTTTTTTTAATTATTTTCTCGTCCTGAACTTAAAATGAACTTACTGAGGCCCATGATATTAACTACTGGCATAACGCACCTGAAAATTTGGATTGATTGACCATTAGAACTTATGAATGACCATTAGTGCTTATGAATGACATCATCATTAAGATTATGGATGAAATATTAAGCTTGTAGTGGACATTCATATACTCGTTTGTCCATTCAATTGTTTTTATTAATTAAAGTCAAAAGAGAAAATAAAGAATTTAAATACTGTAGTTTGTTTCTACCTGATATTTTTTGCTTTTTATCATTATCCTGATCTATATAAATTATATAATATAGGCTTATATATCTATAGGGCCTATATACAATAAATATAATATACATACTTACTTAGAGTATGGTATGGTAGATACTATATTATATAGTATTTTTAGAGAGGATGAATAAATACTGTCTCTTATACACATCTAGATGTGTATAAGAGACAGCTTTATATATATATATATATATATATTCGTTCATTTCACTTTAATTTCAGACCGTAGTCCATATCCTCACTTAAATTTGACAGCAGTACAGCTTAAACATAGAGAAAAAAAAAACCAGTGTGACAAAATATTATTAAAATGAAAACAAGGTATAGCAGTTCACACCACCTACAATTCAGCTTGAGCCGTCAAACAAATCTATCGTCCCCCCCCCACCTTTTTTTTGGAGGGGGTGGGGGAGAAAAAAAAAAGAAGAAAAAAGAAACAGAAAAGATTGTACGCATCGGAGATTATTTTCGGGCGTCTAGAACACAACAATTTCGCGGGGTCATGCCTCCGGACCCCATAGAGTAGTGTTATCTCGATCGGCCCCACTTTCGGCCCCTTCCGGCCCTCCTTTTGAACATCTCTGGATCCGCCGCTGCTAAGAAGTTGTCACTATTTAAAATACGTTCTCGAAAACCATACACAGCCTTT